TAACCCGTCATTTCTGGATGGATAGATGGATGGATGGATGAATGTGTGTCCGCAGCTTTAAGTCGTATCTCCTCCTCAACGAAGCAATATCGATGACTAGTTCCAAAAGCAATTATGTTAAGCAAGTTACGAGGATGAACATAGGCCATAAAAATTAAGGGGTTTCTTTCATGGATTTCCCAGAAAAGCCAAAAAATCTCGAAAAAAAGCAGTTTTTGGCCCATATCTCGGCAACCAGACCACTTAGCGACTTGAAACATGTACCAATCGATTCCTGTCATAATTTAGAACAATATTGCCGAAGAAAGTTTTCAAAAATATTCTCTCGTTCGGTCACAAATTTTAAAATTACATAAACACCTACAAACCGATTGTTCTTCTAGCTTGAACGCACCCCAACATTATACGTCAGAGCTATTTTTAGATAACATAAGGAAATTGCGCACAAATGTCACTAGACTTTTTTAATTAACTTGTTTTTTTAAATACATATGAACTTAAAACAATGTATGAACATGACTGTAATACTTACACAACTCAAAATGGTTTTAATTTAAAATTTGGTGTTTCATGAAACTTACTATATGCTTGGCCAGGGATAGGCAAAGAGGACGCTCCGTGGTATTACCTCTAGGTTGGGTTTGTGGTAAATTTTAATCAATTGCAACACACTTCTAATACAGCGATTCTGTTTCGGATTGACAACACAAGAACATCTAATTTTAAAATTAGTTAAATTTTTAGATTGTAGATATTAAATTTAAATTATTAATTAAAAATTAACTCAATATTTTTTACTGGTGAATCTAAAGGCAATTTACTTTTCTAATATCAGTGCATTTTAAAAGTATTAACTTCTTGCTATTAATGTTTATATTTGTTTTGGTCTATATCCATAAGTATTAATATTGTTAAGTCATGAGTAACATAAAATACATTATTACGCTGCGGATTCTATAATCATGTGTTTTATGGATCTTTTTTATGGTACATTTTTTTTACCTTAAAAGGTTAAGTATCGAGAAGACAACCAGATATAGAGGCTACACTGCTCGCCTAATCGCAACTTTGTATTATAACTATCCTCCACTTTACAAGTATTCGTATATTCGCAACATATTTTATACAATATATCTGCAGTTCACAAGATTAGGCTGCCGTCTTGACGACACTTCACCACAACGTAACACGCAAGGTCATGTTTACACAAAAGATAAGAAACTATCGATCTAAAAATAGATAAATCTCTTGACTCGAGTGATGGCAGTGAAGTTTACGCCATACTGCATTACAACCTGTCCGTCACTCTCCCCCACCTGAGCTACGCTTCAGTGTTCTACAACTTGCTAAACATTGATCCTGTCAATTACGAAAGCTGTACATTTTAGCCATAAATAACTATTTACGGGCGTTTCCCTTTTTTTTTGTTATGTTTATTCATTTTTTTTTCTTTAAACTAAGAGCAAACATAAGTCTGCATAACTAGTGAGATCATCTATTCAGTGGCGTATATAGGTGGGTATTACCAAAGGCGGCACTTTTATTTGTATTGAGATATATATAGGGTGTAAAATAGAAGCCATCTATCAACATATTTTCCTGTTCGTGCCCAAGACACATATGGCAGATGAAATGGAGTTCATCTGTTTCAAGGACCTCGGCATATGAAGGGATAGTGTGGTCAGCATTATGCCCAGCCGCCTTTACTTTTCCTAACGTGCGTTAGGTACACATCGGAGATGAGTTAACTAAGGGACGTTCTGCTGACACAAAAAGCCATATAAGGGCCTTATTTATGTGACTGAGGGGTCAAGCAGTAAGACCCACAGTTACAAATCCAAAGTCGCGAGTTCGGTTCTTAGGAGCTTCTTCTTCGTCGTCGTTCTTACAATGTCTATATTAAAGGAATCATACAACAAGACCAACAGCGTGGACGAGCTGCACGGTAGTCCCAACATTTGCAAACAGCTCGTACAATTGTTCTCTTGAGTGGGGTGTTTGGGGGGCCAGTCACTACGCCGCGTCTATTGATATAAGCTGCAGTCTTGTAAGATATGTTCTTGATCTCGAATCCTTAAGTCTTTCCAGGATCCATCCAGCTCTCATTGGACATTAGACTCGAGTCGGAGGTGGTTATAGCATTGACCACACTATCCCTTCTTCTATTGCTGATTCAGAGAATTAGAAAAACTCTACTTCACCTGGAAACTTTACTGAAAGGGTACTTTTCTCATGAGTGCGTAATCACGAGCCATGTTGCTAAGGGGTGAAAAGTACCAGCATGTGTTCAGCAGAGCACAGGTAAACGTTAGCCGAGCAACCATGTAGGCTACTCTATACAGCCTAACACAAGCATTGCCGTGTATAAATAAGATACGGCGTCTTGGGCGACGGGGCACATAAATTCTGTTTACCAGCTGATCCTCTGTAAGGTAATCAAGAGACAGAGCTGAATGGTGCAACAAGAGTGTGTTAGTGTGGCAAGCAGTACCGCTGACAGTGGCCTCAATAGCATGGACTTTGGCTGAATACAAGAGGGGGGAATCTGTTTAACTGGAAGATTAACTAGGCGTAAAGGGCGTAGGATAGAAATGTTGGGAGTAAAAAGTTGGCAACACTTGAGTATTTAATACATGTGGTGGGACTATCTCATAGGGCATACCCTTCAACAGACATAAACAGCCTCATAAATATGTGATTGTGTTTTCATCGATTCTGAACATTCACTTGAGTGTGACTCTGTAATTCAGTCTGATGGTAAAGCATACGATTGCTAACCCCAAAAGTCTCGAGTTCGAATCCCGGGTTCGTGTCCGTCGAATGTCCTTGAGTTCCCCCAGCTCTGAAACACCTTACAGATAAACTCTACCTGACATGTCCTAAGAACCGCCAGGTTCTGAAGGATACGCTGCGTACTAAATAACTATTACATAATTTTAAATGCTTCTACATATCCTTTGTTTTTACTTCTCAATTATATAGTTAAAATGCAGTTTATATGGAATCTATTGTAAAAATAATAATGGATTGTTTCTATTAGTATAATGCGAGTTCCACAATAATCTTACAGAATATCGTAAAGTTGGAGAGAAGTCTCGGCATTTGCTTAAATGATTATTTTGCTTAGTTATTTAAGTTATATCACATACAGTAATACGGGTCTGCTTAAGAGTGATAAAAACATCAATTAAAATCAATCAATAAAAAACATCAGCAAATGATGTCAATTATTCAACACACATACCACGACAAATCAATTAACATTTGTTTATTCATCACTCGTATACTTGTGTACGATGTTGGTTTGAAAGAAGTTTCATCCACTAGAAACTATTCATTCAAGAACTATTCTTGACAACAAAGAAATGTAGAGATTGTATTTGCATAACGTTTAAAACTGTGGTTTATTTCTAGAATGGATCAATCGTTTCTTCAAACTACAGTACAGTGAATGCCTGCAGACATGCATTTTACGGTTTTAGAAAAAGAATCTTCCCAACACATTTGGGGTTCTTCCTATTCTAATTCTAAGTATTGGAAAAAAACACATTATTTTCATTCTGGATTAAACTATTTAAAAACAGCGCTCTCATAAATCTTAAACATGCGATTCGTCCATAAATTCATGTAATTTCAACCGAGTTTTACCCGCATCATTTAAAGATTACCTTTATAAGTTGGGTAACTAGGAAGTAGAGAATGGGACAACTCCGATGGCAGGACTTCAGGTGCACCATACAGCAAAGAAAAAGATAATATAATGTGTAGCTCACTTTGTATTGAATTACTAAATTTTACTCATTCGAATTTTTAAAAAATAGACCTATAACTATAAATGGCTTTACAGACTAATTTAACTTTTTTTTCTACATCGATAAAAACAGTTTAGGTACAAGGGTTAATTGCATGTTAAAAGTGCCCCCCCCCCTTCCCCTCCCCCCGCCCGCACCCAACTATACTTTTCAAAAGGGGAGGGGGGCTTTTCACCAACGTAAATCCATTAAACCGTGACTGGTGTGGAAGAAACCAGTTGTACAAGATTTGCATGTCTCAATAGATTATACAATCTATCAATTGACGGTCAGTGACGCGAACATTTAGTTAGCAGCTACTGTAGTTTAATTAAAAATCATGTTTATTACAATTTATGTTGGACGTCTCACCGACTAATTTATTTCCAATAACTATTTTGTACATCTCGTGTAGGTTATACAGTGGGGTCTGAAGTGGTTATCTCATCCGAGCCCGTAGTAAAAAAAAAAGCCTATAATCAGAGATAAGAGGGGAAGTAAGTGTGTTTGTGTGTGTGTATGTGTGGGGGGAGGGTGTTTGTGTGACGTCAATTAAATATGACATACAGAAGGTATGTAGTAGTACACAAACTTAACCAACAGTCGCTTCCACCTAAATTATCAAATCCTGAGCTTTAAAAAGTAATTCCGTTTGGTTTTTTTATATGTTTATGTCTAGTCAACAAATACATTTAAAACCCTATCATTAGCAGCCCTCCCTTCAGAACCATTTTGTGGTCGGCACTTAGAGAGAATGCTCTCTCTAGCTCAAGGCCCGCTTCTTCATTTTATGTATTCTATTTTACGATTTCCATTTACGCGATTTCAATGGTAGGGAAACCTTCGACCTAGAAAAAAAAAATACGACCATTATTTATCATAAAACTGGTAGGAGTGACAACCCAGTATAACCAACACAACCCGTATAACACTCATACCATTTATTATAGCCAACCTTTCCTATATCCGACAAGCGACAAGAGAGTTAAAAGCGTTGAATGGATTAAAAAAAACTTGTCAACTTCTTTTAAAGTAAAGCACCTATGTTTTAATACCGAGCTATGAAGCGGTTATTAGCAATAATACCGTTCAATAGACTTCACTTAAGAAGTTCAACGATATGGTATGAGGTTTTAGGGCGGTGCCACGCTAAGCTATAGAAAAAAAAAATCACAGGGATAAAAGAGCGAGGGGAAAAAGTATTGATATTCGAGAATCCCACCTCACTTTCTTTAAGAGGACTAGGCGGTATAGAGGAAACCGGCCGTCGGTTGGGTGAGTGAAGGCTGTATGACGAGGTGCCGTCTAATTTTGGAAGTTTTTTTTTTCGTTTTGGATACCTGGCGCGGTCCATTCAATGGGGAAATTAGAAAGTAAGTGACGTCGGCGTCATGGGAGGAATTAAAAATATTCTAAACGGTAACGGGAGTTAGAGAAATAGAATTTTTTAACACATTGTGAAAAGAATATTAACATATATAAACAAACTGGCGATTTTTCTATGCGGATACACGTAATGTAAATAAACTAAAAAGAAATTATTTTAGTGCGAGTGATGATTTCAGTTTTAAAAGAGTTATTTCCTAAGGAATGCATTTATTTATTTTAGAAAATGTGACTTCAAACAGTGAGGATATAAAACAATTTCAGTGATAAAATATTGTTTCAAAACTTTGGTTTTATCTGGACAAAGGGAGGTCTAACGTTGAATCATGTCGTACGGGTGAGTTTGTTTTGATTGATCTTTTCTTATTTTGATTTTGATGAGTTCTTTTTTATGTCCTCCAGATGATTATGATTAAGTCCATTTACGTAATGTTTGAATGTAGTGATTTATTTATTTATTTTTTAAGTATAACTGTAAGTTATGTAAGAATAAGTTTAGCTACTGGAAAAATTGAAGAATTTAAGACACTAAACAGAAATCTTTTTATAATGTTCCCAGTCCATTAATGTTTTCTGTAACATTTTGCATTATAATAAACACGGACTACCACAATGTATTATGTAGCATTACGCTTTTTCAACTGGTAAACAATATAGACAAATCTATAGTCACACCTTTAAATTTGTCACGAGTATTCTTGTCGCCATGATGATCACTAACTTACTTTTTTTTTCGATTTGAAGACACTGTTATGAAACTGTCGCGCAATAGCTGAGCTCAGTGTGTAGTCATCGTGTTTATTTTTCAAGCTTCGGTTAATTTATTTAATTTGACCAACGAACACTTTAAATAAAGTTACTGGGGCTTTACTGAGTGTTGTCATTGTCTTTATTTTTCACGCTGTATCTAATTTATTTAATTTGACCAACGAACACTTTAAACAAAGTTACTGGTGCTTAACCGAGTGTTGTCACTGTCTTTATTTTTCACGCTTCGTTTAAAATAATAAAATTTGACTAGTGAACACTTAAAAATTTAAACAAAGTTACTGGGACTTTACTGATTGTTGTCATGGTCTTTATTTTTCATGCTGTATTTAATGTATTTAATTTGACCAACGAACACTTTTAAAATCTACTGAGGCTTTATTAGAAACGTCAGAATTAAGCTCGTACAGAAACGACGCAAGTTTAGCCCATCTTTACTTCAACAACCCCCACCCATCTTCAAACGTCGTCATAAAATACAAGAATCCGCTACCCTCCTCCAATAAGAAGATCCACCCTTGCCCTTTTGTATAACTACGAAAACTAACCATTTCCGTTTTTTGCCAAACGTTTGAATTGTCTCATCAAATAGTTTTAAATATCATCCACACATTCACGCTGATATACAAAACCGATAGGTGCGTTACATTATTCACTGAGTACCACACTGAGGTTTTTAAAAAAATGTATATAGCTACAGCAACGTTTCGTTCCTCTGCATGCTAAACATGTTTAATTGTAAACGCGAAAAGAGTCTTTAACTTTAAGTACTGTTCGTGCATTAACGGTATTAAGTGATTTTATTTGTGTTTTAGTACAAGATAGATTTAAAGACAGCACGCAACATGTGTCTCTATATACGATTCTCTTTCACTAGCTATACACCAGTTGTCTGAACAGGCGATTGTAAACACACAGGTGTTGGTAGCTTTTTTGTTTTATCTCAGGGAATAAGTTTAGAGATAGATCGGCTAGAAATACACAGTAGAAGGTGATAAAGTCAAGGGCTGGCGGCTGTATATATTATGTAATAGGAAGTTTAGTCTTAGACATAAGGAAACATTTGGCTAAAATGTACAAACGTGTCAGATAACAGAAAATAAAATGTAGTTAAATTATATACAAGTAAGTCAAGAAATAGTATACAGACAATTGCTTAGGTATATACGCACTTTAAAGAACGTAGATCACACATACAGCTAAAAACATACAACCATGTGAGTGAGGTTCTCTTTTTCAGCCACCACAATTCTTCAAAAAATTGAGCAGTGTGTATCTCTTGGTCTCATTTTTGTTATTTCTTTTGTCGAGAGCTGCTGTTGTGAAGTGATTTTCCCACTTTGGCACCATGTGAATAACGAACTTGATATAACCTATTTAACGAGCTCGATATAGTCTATTTAACGAGCTCGATATAGTCTATGTAATGAGCTCGATGGTCTATTAACCGAGCTCGATATAGTCTATTTAACGTGCTCGGCATAAAAGTCTGTTTAACCCGCTGGACATAGTCTGTTTAAAGACCTTAATATCAATATGTTTAACGAATGGACATACATTATACTTAACGAGTTTGATAAAACAAAACGCGAGCTCTAGAGTTTATGAACAATGTTCTGTACATTTATTTCTCGCTCAAATATAAGTTTTTTTTAGATGGCCTGATATGTACATTCGATCTAAAATTCAAATGTAATCGCAGTTTCAATCATATAATATTAAGTCAATTAGTATTGTATAGAGATAAGATGTACTTTTTAATATTTGGATACATGAAGTTTAATGAAAATATGCTTTTGCATTCTTCCAAAAAAAAATCACCCGTAAAGCGATACTAATCACTAATTTTTTTTTTTAAACTTTCATCCGGTCGTTATTACCTGCATGACGAAAATGTAAAACTGAGCCCCCCCCCCCCCCCCTTCCAATATACGTATTTGTATGTGTTCAGGTTAGGCAGTCGTGAGCAGCAACACATCTTTCGTGCCGTTATCGTCTTGTTATGTCCTACGGACACGCTTAATTATTTAAACCTGCATTGTGGTAAGATAGTTCGTCCTACAAAAAGGGGGTTGGCGTGGTCGAGTCGGTAAAGCACATGGTTGGGGACAGCCACTCTTCTAGGAGAGAAATTTCCAAAATCAAGTAACTGCTGCCTTGTAGTTTGTTCTTGGTTGGACAAAGGCTATGGAAGCAAATCCAAAAAGAAAAGCAGGCTGAAATCGGAGTTAATGGCCTCAATGGCGCATAACCAGTTGACACGTATCCTTAATTGTGATGGAGGCGTGGTTGAGACGGCAAAAGCTCGATCCCTTCCAACACTAAAAATTAAGAACGAAGAAGATGTCCTACAAAAATATTTCTCGTTTAGGTAGATTTTTTTAATAAAGGAAGATGTCCATCTCCCATTAACGTTAGGGTTAAAGGTGTGGTTATGTTTAATTCCAAGTTAATTTTGATATACCATTTTCATAGATCTTTTTAATGACTGACATGATGTTTATTATTAAGCTTTTGGTGTTTTTTTTCTCAATGTGTTGGTTTTTTTTTAACCATTTAATAAGTGTTTTTTTTTTTTTCACAATTTTTTCCCCATGCTTTTGCCCTGCACCTTGTACAATGATCCCGCTTTGTGCACATGACTGTTTCGTCACACTTAACACGACACATCTCTGCACAAATGTCTGACGCGTGCTAAAACAATTACCTGGTACAAATACCTGATGCTGTTTATTACAAATACCTGATGCTGCCTGATACAAATACCTAATGCTGTCTGGTACAAATTGATGCTGTCTGGTACAAATACCTGTTGCTGTCTGGTACAAATACCTGTTGCTGTCTGGTACAAATACCTGATGTCCGATGTTGCCAACAACAGCAACGGTGACGTCAGAGTAGCGAGGGTGGCGCCGATCCCAAAATACGACAACTTCCAAATCAAAGCAGCCCCCATTGAGAAACCGGCCTACAACCCCAGAATCGACCCCCCACCCTACAAAGCCGGGGGTGAGATCGTCAGGCCTAAAAGCTCTGTCGGTGGTAAAAAATGGAAGGCAACCTACGACAAGATGCAGACGAGCAGCCACGGGACGTTCCACCCCATATATGGCCCACAGGGGGACGAGAAGAAGAAGAACGATATGATGGACTTGTACAGGCAACAGAAGGAGATTGATGAGAGACAGAGGCAGGAGAAAGAGAGGAAAGAGAAGGCTGCTAAAGAGGAGAAACAGCAAAAACAGAGGCATGAGGAACCGGTGCAGAAGGAACCGAAACAAAAAGAGCAGAAAGAACATAAGGAACCTAAAGAACATAAGGAACCCAAAAAGGAACAGCCGAAAAGTTACGAGGATAAGCCTGAGAGACACAAGGAACCAGAGAAACACAAGGAAGAGAAACCACCCAAACAATACAGTAACGAACCTGAAAGGTGAGTGTATGTTAACAATGATAGTGTATAGCGACTACAGCACGACACTTAGGTTACAACAAAGTCAATTATGTTTTATTTTTTATCAGCTGCAAAATCCCTATAGATGCTTTACGTGTATGCAAATATGTATAGGCTTTATTATTTGGTTGACTAGAAATGGTTTATTTATTTTTGCTTTTATTTATTTTTTTTGTATTTGGTTTGTTGGTGATCTAACTTCATATTTTATGTACATTATCGCCTACACAGCACCGTTGGGAAGACAGGGTGGGGGGGGGGGGGCGAACTAGATTTTTCAGGGGAGGGGAAGAAGAGGGGCGGACATTGGTAAAAGTATATAATTTCTATATAAATTTTATTTCGTTCTTAGGGGGTAGACGTTTATTCGGGGCTGGGGGAGTTCCGAATAGATGCCTGAAAGAAACTATGATGGGGAAAAAAACACTATTATGCTTTCAAATCACTTTTACTCTAAATCAGCTAGATCTAGATATTTAAACGCACAACCAAGCACACAGTAACATTTTATTTCCTGTGGAAATTAACCCTGAATAACTTCCACCTTGTATACTGTAATTGATTTTTAAGGTCGTCGCCATTCAAACCAGAACCAAACACATATACATATGTGTAACGTTTGCAGCATACGATTACCTAAAGGAGGTCACGTACTCATGCTTTTAACACACCATTCTGAATTATTGATCTTTTAAACTTACATTGATAATTTAAGTTTTAACATAAAAAAAAACAAATAAGCTGTATAATTTTTTTTTAAATTAAAAGACGAATGTTTGCCTCAGGTATTGGTGTTATAGAAGTAGTAACGATTAAACTAGAGAAACAAGTTAGGTTTAGGGATAAATGTGAGCATACAGTGGGGGTTAAGGCTACTGTAAGGTCTAGTTACATCAATGCTTCAAAGCGTGTGTTGTTAGTTACACACTCAATAGGTAACCCTCTATTTTTAAAAAAATAATGAATGTTGGTTACAACTGTGATGTACACGGTAAAAAATACTTTATAGTAGGGTTCTAATAAATAAGAGAAGCAGCTGTTCTTATAGTAAAATAATCAAGTTTAGAAACGTGCATAATCATCGGAGCTTAACCCGAGTGTCAAGTTTAAAACGAGTCGGTTTGGTAAGTTGTAAAACACAAAACCTTATCAACAGGCTTCTAATAAATAGAAGAGACAAAAAATATGCACTAAGTTAGGCGTATACAATATCCACCTTTATTTATCTAACCCATAACAAGTATTATAATAAGTAAAGAGACATAGCAAACTTACAGCAAGTTTATTTTGCAACATCACCTCCTTCATTCATCTAACCCAGAAGTCTCCAAACTTTTCAGTCCGAGGGCCGCATTAACTATCAAATTTCAGTTCGGGGGCCAGTTAGTTCCAGGCATGTTTTTGATTTTTCTGTGCAAAGTTCCTCAGCCATCACCAACAAACGTTTTTTCCGAGGACAAAAAGATCGCCGCGGGCCGGATGAGAGGACCTCGCGGGCCGCATCCGGCCCGCGGGCCGTAGTTTGGAGACCCCTGATCTAACCCATGTCAAGTACTAAATCTATAATAAACAATTGAGACATAATGTTGATGTTTGCAACATCACCACCTTTATTCATCTAACTAACCCATTAGAAGTACCATAATAAATAATAGACAACAAACATACACTTAGTTTTTGCAACATCTCCACATTTTTTCGTCTAACGAATAACAAGTACTATAATAAATAAACGAGACACAATGTCTAGCATGCATCATTTCCACATATATTCCTCTAACCCATAAGAGACAACAAACATACACTTAGTTTTTACCACATCTTCACATTTTTTTCGTTTAACCAATAACAAGTACTATAATAAATAAAAGAGACAGTGTGTTTAGTGTGCACCATTTTCACATTTATCCATCTAACCCACAACAAATACTAAAATAAATAAAAGAGACAAATAGTTTAGTTTGCAACATTTCCACCTTTATTCCTCTAACCCACAACAAATACTTTATTAATAAAGAATGGAGACATAATGTTTTAACGAGTACTATATTAAATAAAAGAGACAGAATGCTTAGCTTGCAATATCTCTACATGTATCCATCTAACCCATGACAAATACTATAATAAAGAGACAGTATGTTTAGTTTGCACCATCTCCACCTTTACTCATCTAACCCAACCAGAGAACGTAAACCTTTCAACAAGGACGCCGTGATGGCGCCCAACGTACAGAACTACAACAAGAACTACGACAAGTTCCAGGTCCGGCAGCCGCCCATGAACGTACCAGAGTACAAGATGAACGAGGGCAACAAGTGGCAGCAGTCGTACGAGAAGATGAAGACGAGCAGCCACCAGGAGTTTAAACCTGTCTACGGTCCTCAGGGTGACAACAGGTAAACAATGGCCGTAACATGTTACATGGCTCAATTTGTAAACAATAACCAGATTGCCTAATGTTACATGTGGTTTACTTTGTGACCATATGCACAGATGTAATAGATCACATGTAAGAAACAGGATGCATAGCTGCTTCCCTCATTAAATCAAAAATGTTCTGGGTTTTTTAGATGGAAATTGTTCATTTTAATTATAAGGGGTAATTAAGGCAAATAAAAATTCAAATGTAAGTTGTTTACATTTTTTTTTTGCTTCGATCAAAATTTTTGGGGTAAAGTTTTACTCAATGAGGGAAAATAGAATCTACAAAACAAAAAGAAAAGTTATAATCTATATCTCTCCATATATAAATTCGGAAAAGTACAGAAAGTTTGGCGTGATGCCGTCCACACAATATTTGTTTGCATCTAGGCTACATAAAGCAAAAGCTGCTCTACTTTATCTCCACCCGGTGACTGTTTAAAAGAGGTTTACTTTTTACTAATCAAACTGTACTAACAGTGGGTCCATTAAGCCACAGCATACGCTGATGAAATCCCTCACAATACTATCTCTAAATAACGCTTTTCTACGCAACAAATAGTCTAACAAAATAAAACCATCTCACGTTTTGTTCAAGATGTGTATAAAAACGTGACAGGTTAACTTCTGTGGTTCAACCTTTCCGTCCCAAAGGTAGATCCAAATTAAGCAATGGTTGTTATTCCTCTAGTATTACTTTATTTGATTTACAAAATAATACCAATAACGACGTATTTAAGTGCCTCTTTCAAACAAACAAATTCAAAACGGTATGTTTTATAACCAATTAAAAATGTTTAACTCATTTATTTCAAAATGTTTTGTTGTAACTTTGAGCACTAAGGTTTTCAATTATTCCACTAGTTTTTACCCATCCCGAAGCTAGATACAAATTTTCAACAACTCTGTTTCCAATATGTATGGATCAGCCTAGCCATTAAACTTAAACTTTGTTGTCAAAGCTAGATCCACATTATTTTAATGTGTTATGTTATTCCCAGAGCAATCCATTCTAGTGCATACCAGCCACTATTTCACTTATTATCGGAAGATATGACATACTGTTCAAACAGCCTTTGCCATCATCCCTTGTATGGTACCTACTAGAGTTGTTAGGCGAAGTTCAATTAAGGACGTGCCCATTTAGCTAGACACCAAACTCGTGACTTTCGCTTTATGCAGCTAAATCCCGCCATCCTAAAACATATATAGACAATGTAATACAATCTAAATTAGTATGTTGCCGAATAAATCAAATGTTTAAATTTTGAACTATATATTTTTAGACCTTACAAGAACGACATGATAGATATGTACAGAGAACAAAAAGAAAAAGAAAAGAAAGAAAAAGAGCCGAAAGAGAAAAAAGAAAAGGTTAAGGAAGCTCCAAAGAAAGAAGAAAAGCCACAAAAAGAAGAAAAACACGAACCAAAGAAAGAGGAAAAACACGAGCCCAAGAGAGAAGAGAAACCATATAAAGAGGAGAAGCGCGTCAAAGAGGAGAAGCCAAAGGAAAAGCCAGTAAAAGAGGAGAAAGCGCCTAAAGAGAAGAAGGAGAAACGCCAGGAGCCTGAAGAGTACAGAGAGCCTAGAGAGTAAGTTTAGTAGCCTAGGTTTCGGTTTAGTTCAATAGTTGATGTTTTTGTTTAGTACAGTAGTTTCTCGTTTTTTGTTTAGTGCAGTAGTTTCTCGTTTTTTGTTCAGTACAGTAGTTTCTCGTTTTTTGTTCAGTACAGTAGTTTCTCGGTTTTAGTTTAGTACAGTAGTTTCTCGTTTTTTGTATAGTACAGTAGTTTTTCTGTTTCTGTTTAGTACAGTAGTTTCTCGTTTTTGTTTAGTACAGTAGTTTCTCGTTTTTGTATAGTACAGTAGTTTCTCGTTTTTGGTTAGTACAGTAGTTTCTCGTTTTTGTATAGTACAGTAGTTTCTCGTTTTTGTTTAGTACAGTAGTTTCTCGTTTTTGTATAGTACAGTAGTTTCTCGTTTTTGTATAGTACAGTAGTTTCTCGTTTTTTGTATAGTACAGTAGTTTCTCGTTTTTGTTTAGTACAGTAGTTTCTCGTTTTTGTTTAGTACAGTAGTTTCTCGTTTTTGTATAGTACAGTAGTTTCTCGTTTTTGGTTAGTACAGTAGTTTCTCGTTTTTGTCTAGTACAGTAGTTTCTCGTTTTTGTTTAGTACAGTAGTTTCTTAGTTTAGTACAATTATTTTTTGTGTTTGTTTAATTCAATAGTTTCTTTAAAAAATGGTAGCTCAATAGTTTTTCTCGTTTTTGTTAAGTAGAATATTTTCTCGTTTTTTTTTTTTTTTTGTTAAGCTCAGTCGTTTATCGTTGTTTTTTAGTTCAATATTTTCTCCATTTTAAAGTACAATAGTTTCTCGTTTTGATTTACAACAATTGTTCATCGTGTTTGTTTGATTCATTAGTTTCTGATTTTCTTTTAGTACATTTCGCCATTATTAATTATTCCAAATAATTTAAACTATTGTGTAAGTGTAAGTAATAGGTTGTTGTTGTTGTTTTAGAATTCAATTTAATCGCCATAATTTCTGCAATGTGGTTTCTCTCTATTCCGTTTGAATACGCACATTGCGCTAAACATCTTAACAAAAAGAAAAAAAAATGTTTCAAAAAATTGTATTCTGCAAATTACAAAAATCCATTGAAGGTAGCTAAAAACATGTTGTCTAAAGATGTCTAATTGTTTAACAGTCTTAGCAATTGAAATAAACATAGACGGGGCTTTAAAACTTAAAGAAGCATATCATGATAAAGTGATAAAGGGTCTAACATAAAATATCTAAAATGAATTCAACTGTTCTTGCATGTACAAAAAAAGGAGGAAGCCGTTCAACAAGGACGCCATTGTGTACCCCAACGTGCCTTCGTACAACAGAAACTACGACAAGTACCAAGTCCAGTCCACGCCTATGGACGTGCCGGAGTACAAAGTAGCGGAGAACAACAGGTGGCAGCATGCCTACAACAAGATGAAAACAGAGAGCCATCCGGACTTTAAGCCCATATACGGTCCACAGAACAAGAAAAGGTATGATGCATGACAGGTAATTCACAGGGGCGGTTTCTTCAAACAGAGAGCCATCCGAACTTTAAACCTATATACAGTCCGCGGAACAGGAAAAGGTATGTTGCAGGATAGGTAATTCACAGGGGCGGTTTCTTCAAACAGAGAGCCATCCGGACTTTAAGCCTATATACGGTCCACAGAACAAGAAAAGGTATGTTGCATGATAGGTAATTCACAGGGGCGGTTTCTTCAAACAGAGAGCCATCCAGACTTTAAGCCTATATACGGTCCACAGAACAAGAAAAGGTATGTTGCATGATAGGTAATTCACAGGGGCGGTTTCTTCAAACAGAGAGCCATCCAGACTTTAAGCCTATATACGGTCCACAGAACAGGAAAAGGTATGTTGCATGATAGGTAATTCACAGGGGCGGTTTCTTCAAACAGAGAGCCATCCAGACTTTAAGCCTATATACGGTCCACAGAACAAGAAAAGGTATGTTGCATGATAGGTAATTCACAGGGGCGGTTTCTTCAAACAGAGAGCCATCCAGACTTTAAGCCTATATACGGTCCACAGAACAGGAAAAGGTATGTTGCATGATAGGTAATTCACAGGGGCGGTTTCTTCAAACAGAGAGCCATCCAGACTTTAAGCCTATATACGGTCCACAGAACAGGAAAAGGTATGTTGCATGATAGGTAATTCACAGGGGCGGTTTCTTCAAACAGAGAGCCATCCAGACTTTAAGCCTATATACGGTCCACAGAACAGGAAAAGGTATGTTGCATGATAGGTAATTCACAGACGCGGTTTCTTCAAACAGAGAGCCATCCGGACTTTAAGCCTATATACGGTCCACAGAACAGGAAAAGGTATGTTGTAGGATAGGTAATTCACAGGGGCGGTTTCTTCAAACAGAGAGCCATCCAGACTTTAAGCCTATATACGGTCCACAGAACAAGAAAAGGTATGTTGCATGATAGGTAATTCACAGGGGCGGTTTCTTCAAACAGAGAGCCATCCAGACTTTAAGCCCATATACGGTCCACAGAACAAGAAAAGATATATTGAATGCTATGTAATTTAGACGGACGGTTTCGTCAAAGGGAAGATTGGTAAGGGGATGAGTCTCAAGATCCGTTCTTGACTAGATTGTCAAGGGGGTGGGAGTCTTCAGCTCCGTTCCTGACTAGATTAAAGAGCAGAGAGAGAGAGGGGGGGGGGAGATTTGTTAAGGGGGTTGAAGTCTTAAAACCCTTTCCTGACTAGATCTAAGAGAAGAGAGGGGTGTGGGTTTCTAAAGGGGTGCGTCTCAAGCTCCTTCCCTGACTAGACCAAAGGGTAGAGAGAGGGATTGCTAAGGGTTTAGTCTCACGTCCCGCTCCTAACCAGACTGCTAAGGGGGTAGGGGGAGCAGGTAGCCCCACTACTTGCTAGATCAGGAGTTCCCAACCCCGTGCCCGCGGGCGCCATGGCGCCCGCCGAACGATTCGTATGTGCCCTCCTCTCACTATTCGACAGAGACAGGATTTTTTTCATAAACATTATTGAAAGGTTGAAGGGGATGGAAATCGAAAGTTTGAGGGGGGGTGCAAATCGAAAGTTTGAGTTTGAGGGGGGTGCAAATCGAAAGTTTGAGGGGGGGGGTGCAAATCGAAAGTTTGAGTTTGAGGGGGGTGCAAATCGAAAGTTTGAGTTTGAGGGGGGTGCAAATCGAAAGTTTGAGGGGGGGGGGGGGGTGTGCAAATCGAAAGTTTGAGGGGGGGGGGTGCAAATCTAAAGTTTGAGTGGGGGGTGCAAATTGAAAGTTTTGTACCCGGGTGACGGGAAGGGGCGCTACGCCTCTGGATGGAGTTTGTCGATTTAAAATAGGTGGTGCCCGCCACCCTACCGATATTTTAGAATGTGCTCTAGAGTAAAAAAAAGGTTGGAAACCCCTGGGCTAGATTATAGAGTAGAGGAGGGTATTGCTAAGGGGGTGGGAGTTTCATGCTAAATTACTCACTAGATTGCAAAGGGGTGTCCCAATTTCCGTTCATGACTAGATCACAGGGTAGAAAGAGACTGTTAAGGGGGTAGGAGTCTGAAGCTCTATTCTTGACTAGATCAAAGCGTAGAGAGAGAGAGAGAGAGAGAGAGAGAGAGAGAGAGAGAGAGAGAGATTGTTAGGGGAGGGGGGGGTAGGAGTCTGAAGCTCTATTCTTGACTAGATCAAAGCGTAGAGAGAGAGAGAGAGAGAGAGAGAGAGATTGTTAGGGGAGGGGGGGGTAGGCGTCTGAAGCTCCGTTCTTGACTAGATCAAAGCGTAGAGAGAGAGAGAGAGAGAGAGATTGTTAGGGGAGGGGGGTGAAAGTCTCAAACTCCGTTCCTGATTAGATCATAGGGTAGAGAGAGATTGTTAAGGGGGTGGGAGTCTCAAGATACGTTCCTGACTAGACGCTATCTGACACCATAGAATCTATACAGCCACAATCTATATAGAGACCTCGGAATTTAACAATTTATAATACATAATCCTTGCAGTGCCTGACATAATAGGCGGATGTGAATTTCCTAGTATCCCCCCCCCCCCCCCGCTACCTTACACATAGTGGTCATATACAGTTATAAACACTTTCATTTAAACTGTACACCTTCGTTTTCAATATAAATTGTTAAGATAGTTAGAACTGGTGTTTTCTATATCCATACCAATTTTCTAACGTATCAATAATCATATTTTTACCAGGTATAGTTAGTGTATTAAAAGTGAACTGTAGAGGATTCAAAATTGCGATTACATTTAACAACTAGCATACCAACACATGTGTTATTTCAATGTATATTATTACAAGAATCTTCAAAGACCACGTTTAAATCTGTTTTATGTTTTACCCTAGGGACCTTATGGATTTATATGAGGAGAAAAAAGAAAAAGAGAGGAAAGAGAAGAAAGAGAAGCCACCTCCAAAAGAAAAACCACCAAAAGAGGAAAAGTAAGTTAAACGTTTATTATTTCATAGTTTGTAAAGATAACCAAAACAGTTGGGCCCACCTGCATTATTTTGCTATAACCACTTATTAAATTTATCGTTAGCCTAATTAGAAATACAACTTTCAGCGTGTTTGTTTTATTTAACGCGAGTGGATTAGGGAGGGTTTGAAATATTATGAACTTCCACATGTTGAATTCAACTTCATTAGTTAGTTTACTTTAACTACAAGTAGGTTGTACCAATACAAATGTTAGTGTGGTGTGTTGTTACCGGTACTGGGAAAGAGAATTTATTATGAAACAAATGTGTAAATAAGTGTTATCGGTCCGCATTATTTCATGTATAACTTGTTTGTTAGAACAATGCTGAGTGCTGTTTCTTGGCAGAGTTTAACTCGAAAATGTTTGTTAGAACTAAGCACTGTATCAGTTCTCAAATACACCTGTACAAAACTAGCCTTTGGTAAACTTACATTTCTTTTAACTGCAGACCTAAGAAAGAAGAAAAACCTAAAAAGGAAGAAAAAGTCAAAGAAGAAAAACCTAAAAAGGAAGAAAAACCAAAAGAAACACCAAGAAAAGAAGAAAAAGTCAAAGAAGAAAAACCTAAAAAGGAAGAAAAACCAAAAGAAACACCACGAAAAGAAGAAAAAGTCAAAGAAGAAAAACCTAAAAAGGAAGAAAAACCAAAAGAAACACCAAGAAAAGAAGAGAAAAGACCCGAATCCCCGAAGAGAGAAAAAGAGGTGTATTATCAAAAAGAACCCAAGGAAGAAAGATATTACGGGCACAAAACTGAGGAGAGACCGGTCAAGAAGGAAGACAACAGACATCCGGTACAGAGAGAGCTGTATCAATCCAACCTGAAGAAACCAACAGAGGAGCCAAAGAAAGAGAAGAAGGAAGAGGTGAAACCTACGCCTAGGGAGGAGAAGAAGGTGGAGAAAGTGGAAGAAAAACCGAAACATAAGGAAGAAAAGAAGGAAGAAAAGCCAAAGCCTAAGGAAGAAAAGAAGGAAGAAAAACCTAAACCTACCCCACGTGAAGAAGAAAAGCACAAACATAAGGAAGAAAAAGAAGAAAAACCTAAACCGAAGGAAGAAAAGAAGGAAGAAAAACCTAAGCCCAAGGAAGAAAAGAAGGAAGAAAAACCTAAGCACAAAGAAGATCCCTACGAGTACAAACCTAAACAGAAGGAAGAAAAGAAAGAAGAAAGACCTAAGCCCAAAGAGGATCCATACGAGTACAAAAAACGAGAAGAGAAACCAAAGCCACCAGAACCAAAGAGAGAAGAGAAACGGAGGGAGGAGAGGTACGACAGAGAACCGGACAGGAGAGTCCGGCAAGAGGAGGAGAGACACTACGGCAAAGCTCACTCACACGAGCGGCCGGTCAAGCCGCAGACCAACGACAAGAGCATCGTCAGAGACGGGCATCCGCCTGAGAAGGCCAACACACAAAAACCAAAGGCAAAGGTATGCAGTCAGTTATCTGAACGTGTTTAATATTGGTCATTAAGCTTAGGTTTGACTATATTACATATAACAGCCACCCCCCCCCCTATTTATTTTTACATAAGGTGTTTAGAAGCTTGTGATAAACTGTGATGAGGTCAAAATGTACTATATATATTGGCTGGATCACAAACAGATCACAAATAATAAATGGTATCGTTAAGATTCGTATGTAAGACAAATCTTTCCATGCATTAAATACCTCAGTTAACTTGCTCATAATTATTAGCAATATACTGTTGACAAACAAAGCAGCAAAGGCATTTCTGCATGTTAACTAACATAAAAAGTCAAGATTCCTCCTTAGACCTAGCGATCCATTCGACCGGTAAAGCAGAGTTCATTTGTTTCTTGACCTCGGTATATGAAGAGTTGGTGTGGACAGCACTATGCCCAAAAAAGTCAGGTACCCATTAGAGCTGGGTAGACTCAGGGACTTCTGCAGTGATAAATCCGAACCGAGATCCTACTGTCTAGCAGCCAAACGCACCAAAATTCGACCACATGTTACCTTACATAACACCCGAAAAGCCAGCGTTAACACATATCTACAATAGTTAGCCAAACTGATCATATTTATTTTAATGTTAAAATATGTTGACCAATTGTTAACATTGTAATGTTAACATATGTTGGCCTTTTGTTAACATTTTAATGTCAACATATGTTGACCTATTGTTAACATTTTAATGTTAAATATGTTGACCTATTGTTAACATTTTAATGTTAAAAGATGTTGACCTATTGTTAACATTTTAATGTTAAAATATGTTGACCTATTGTTAACATTTTAATGTTAACATATGTTGACCTATTGTTCAGGTTCAGCCAACACCACGACCACCAGTGGAGGAGCGCAGAAAACCGTACAGACCTTTCCACATAGACAGAGCCAAAGACAAGCCCAGCGTGAGAGCGAAGTACTACGAGAGAGCCGGTGAGTTTTTCTTTCTTATATGGCCATCAGCACATTGCCTCATTGCAGTATAGTTGAGTATGGTATCGCATTACAACTTTGCGTAACGACAGTTCAATTCACGCACTACAATAGTACAGAAGTACAGTAAACATCATTTCTACAAATACACAGTGTTACATGTTTCTATTTCTACATCACATTAGAGGTGTTCTTTTCTACAAAACATTACATATTCTCTTTTTTTACAAAACATTAAATGTTCTCTTTTTTTACGATTTTTTTTAAATTTCTGCAAAAGATTGCATTTTCTCATTTATACAACAAATTGCATGTGCCCACTTCTACAAAACATAACATGTTCCCACTTCTACAAAACATAACATGTTCCCACTTTTACAAAACATAACATGTTCCCACTTCTCCAAAAAATAACATGTTCCCACTTCTAAATAAACCGGTAGTGATCTCCCCTAAACTTTCTCGAATATTCTTATGTAAAACAACAGGGGATGGTAACTGGGGATATAGTTATGATTTTTAATCCATTTTAAATACTTAAACTTTTAAAAATAGAATAGAATCTCATAAAAAAAACATTGCGCAACAAGCAAACGCCGAATAAAAACGCGTATAATAGTGTGCAATATTATTAGTACATTAGTTTTTTGAGAAATCGGAAGTAGCGTAAATTACTACTTCCAGTCAACGGAAATTACTCAAAATTTAACAGAAGGTAGAGAATTAGATCTTTTACTTACATGTGAAATTTCATTTATCTATCTGAAATAGTACTCAAGTTATAGGCTTTTAAAAAATTCAAAGTAGGAAAAGTACCACTTCCGGTTATCGGAAATCGCTCAAAAGTTGATACGGATCTACGATTTTGATAAAATACTTATATATGAAATTTCATCAACCTAGCTGTAACGGTACTCAAGTTATCGTGTTTACACACGGACAGACACACACACACACACACACACACAGACATACGGACAAGATTGCAAAATTATGTTTTTCCGTATCCGTGAGGTGTAAAACGTCGAGATTTGTAAAAATCTCGATTTTTTTTTTTTTTGCACGATTACAATACTTTCTCTATACTACGTACCATACGAGAAAGTAAAAACATAACATTTCTAGAAAAACATGTCATGAATTCCAATTTCTAAAGAAAAATACATATTCCTTTCTCTACGAAACATAGTAACAAAATTTCCATTTCTACACATTACATACGTTTACAACATTACGTGTTCCCACTGTCATAAAACATTACATGTTCCCATTTCTACACAACATTACATGTTCACATGTCTACACAACATTACATATTTCTACACAGCATTACATGTTCCCATGTCTACACAACATTACATGTTCACATGTCTACACAACATAACATATTTCCATTTCTACACAACATTACATGTTCTCATGTCTACAAATTACATGTTCTCATGTCTACACAACATTACATGTTCTCATGTCTACAAATTACATGTTCTCATGTCTACAAATTACATGTTCTCATGTCTACACATAACATGTTACCATGTCTACACAACATTACATGTTCTCATGTCTACAAATTACATGTTCTCATGTCTACAAATTACATGTTCTCATGTCTACACATAACATGTTACCATGTCTACACAACATTACATGTTCTCATGTCTACAAATTACATGTTCTCATGTCTACACATAACATGTTACCATGTCTACAAAACATTACATGTTCTCATGACTACAAATTACATGTTCTCATGTCTACAAATTACATGTTCTCATGTCTACACAACATTACATGTTCTCATGTCTACAAATTACATGTTCTCATGTTTACACATAACATGTTACCATGTCTATACAACATTACATGTTCCCATGTCTACAAATTACACGCCCACACTGTTAAAAAATGCAAGTTAACATTTTAAAATTACACATTCTTGAATTTTTCAATATTAAACTATATTTTAACACATCCTTACAATATACACCACGGCTATAAAACCTATCAGTTCAAACATGCTCAATGGTGGTATGTGTAGTGGTTGTCACTTGATTGACAGAAGAATAAAGGTCAAATATTTTTACAATAAGAGCCGACAGACTGGTAGACCGAAGCGCCGTAACTATTTGAATAAGGGTTCAATAATTTCACACTTAAAAACCTGTACCGATTGATTTTTCGTCACACTTGATTGTAACTGATGTATACTGGAAGAAAGCGTTTTTTTCTTCAAACGATATGCTAATGGCCTTGCTGTTGAAATTGTTTGTGGCATTGTGTTATATTAGTTTAAAAAAGTTTGAAAAAAATTTCAACTTTGATTGAAATGCATAAAGGTGTTTAACATTTCATTGTATGGAGTTCGTTTCATAAAGCATATTTGCTTCAAGGGCTGACGTAGAATTGTATTAAACTAATAAATTACAAGCTATAGAAATACAAGGCTACGGTCGTACCTAGCAGGTGTATTGAACCAGCTTATTAATTCATCATTTTGTCGCTAATACTCAATAATAATAGTAAAAAGCTACTAAATTCTTTTAAAACCTACTTAACTTCTTTTTGAAAAATTATTTTAAACGGTTAAATTTTATCCATAAATAAGTATTGATTTTAAAAATTTCTTTTTTTACTTTTTGGATTTTTATTAATAATAGTATGTAATGGTACGTTTTGGGTTTAAAAAACTAACAGGTAAATAAATAATTAAAAAGAATAGGGGAAGTTCGGACATAACCAAATGGGAAACAACTCATAAAAATATGTATACTTAAGCAAAGGGACTTAACTGTTAAAAAATTATATTGAAACTACGGCGTAAAATTTAACAGAAATAAAAAAAATGCCAAACCGAAACGACAGTGCCTTTGCTTACGGAACTAATGCTTTTAAATGTTGCTTTTTATTGTTGTTGCTTTGCTAAGTGTTGTTGTTGTTGTTGTTTTAATTGGTGTAGTAATAATTTCAAGGTGATAGTATGATACTAAGCATGTTTTGTCGATTGTGCGAAACAAATTACCCACTTGAACAACCCACTTATACTGTAGAGTCAAAAAATATTAGTGCAACACTACAAACTTCACTAACTACCAATCCAAACAAGTGCTCAGTGTAATAAACTTCACTAACTACCCAACAGTAAACTTCACTAACTACCCAACAGTAAAAACTTCACTAACTACCAAACCAGCAAGTTTAACAGTAAAAAGTTCACTAACTACCCAACCCTATAAATTCCACTAACTACCCAACAGTACAAACTTCACTGACTACACCAACACTACAAACATCACCAACTACCCATCAGTAAAACTTCACTAACTATCCATCAGTTAAACCTCCACTAACTACCCATCAGTTAAACCTTCACTAACTACCCAACCAGCCAAGTTTAACAGTAAAAACTTCACTAACTACCCATCAGTTAAACCTTCACTAACTACCCAACACTACAAACTTCACTAACTACCCAACCAGCCAAGTTTAACAGTGAAACCTTGACTAACTACCCAACCAACCAGCCAAGTCTTCTCGTCAGCCCGCAAGCCTGCCTGGCTCGTTTGTTATGACAACCGTCGCCCATAGTAATTGGTCACGTCACACTGGCTGCCGCCTCGCTGACATGACATTGAATGTTTAATCTGGCACGGCCGTCCACACTCTTACAGAAAACGTACGCGGCCGTCCATTTCAAGGGTAATAAAACGATCCATTTATAGCGTTCAATTTTTTTTTTCATTTAGACGAGTCGGCATACAGGCTAAAGAAAGACCGTCGTTAAAATATTGGGGTTACGGTTTTTCTTCTTCGGAATTAATAAATATAGGAAAGTGTGTATTAGTTTGGGTGGGGGTAACGCGGGGTTAGAGAGTAAAAAGAGTAAACGGGTGTAGTATTAAAAAAAAATAATTTAATATTTAGCAAAGCTTTGAAGGGAATCAACAATATTTGAACATAATGATGGGGACTGTAAAAAAATTTACATATAGTTTTTGATGTCCCTATTCACAAGATCATTGGTAAAGAAAAAGCGTGTTGAACAGACGTTAGAATTAAAATCGTTTGATCAACACGCATTTTGAGCTAGAGATCTTCGCAGCCCAGCTATTAAGTCACTAAAACAGGTCAACTCTACTTCACCATCCGCATGGATCGTCGGGTTCGAAAGAGTACTTTACTTACATGAATGTTTATTTTTATTTTTTTTAAGTAAATAGAATGGTATAAAATCATGAATGGTAAAGTAAAAACGTATGTAGTATTTGCCAGGCTTAAAGAGAACGAATCAATATGGTTATTAAATAGGTGCTCTGGATAAACAGTATGAATAATAAACTTTAATACGACGAGGGCTTACAGACTGTAGTCTGTGTGTTCTTGGGAGAGTTTTTTTTTTCTTTCTCTAATTGAAAGCTAGGTAATGTGTCGTGAACCACGGGCGGTAATCCTGCTTGAGGAATTAGGTATATAACCGCCGGGAGAATTGGGTATAAATTGGTTGACTTTGAACAGATAGCCCTGGTTTATGTACAACACAAGTATTGACTTAGTGGGGACCGCATTGGGTTAAAGACTTTAGTTGTCAAATGCGAGATTAGAAAGACAAAAAGAAATTGTCGTGACGCTTTTCGGAGGTACGAGTAGAGGCTTTTTATTGAAAATGTCAGTGCATTCTTTTTTTTTTCTTTTTTTTTTTGTGGGAAAGGGATTTCTGACATTTATTATAAGGAAGCAGTTCAAATAAAAGAAATTGTCAATTGGAACTCACACTCTCAAAAAACCGGATTGCCTTTATTTAGTGCGTGGATACTAGGGTACATATTTTCTTCTTCTTCTTCTTCGTTCTTAATTGTAATGTTGGAAGGGATTCCCTACAACACAAATAAGTATTACGTGTCCAATTGTTATGTGCTATATAGGCCGTTGACTCCGTTTTTTTTACTGCTTTTCTTTTTGGATTTGCTACCATAGCCTTTGCCCATCTAAGAACACATCAG